CTCTTAGGTATTCCTGCAAATTTTAACCATTTTTCTTGGACCCATTTTTGGTTTTTTGAAGAAAAGGTCTACCATATCTTTCTTCAACCTAAAAGTTTGAAATTCTTCCAACAGTAAGGCTCTTCTTTAGAATCCCTAACTCTTCTAAAACTTTATTGATTTTTTTCTGCAAAAATCTAATTAATTTTTCTTCTAAAAATATTTATTTTTATAATATACCTCTCAACCTCCATGTAGTACATAATCCCCAGTGATTATTGTGCGGCCCAAAGGCCCATCCCGAAAAAAAATATTGAAGCAAAAAGGCCAATTTGTCGGAATCTTTGTGGCGGTGGCAGTTTTGTGGCCACGGTTGCCACATTTTGGGGCTTATTGATTTATCGTCTGCTCAGGGTCTGATTCTCTACAGTATCTTCGCCCGGCTTCTTCTCCAATCGAAGCTGCAAACCAGAAGAAACCCCCGAGGCGTGGGCACCACTTTGATTTCTATGCGAAAAAAAAAGAAAGATCTTCGTGAGCGTTTCTACTCCTCGTTTATTTTTTTTCTGATTTTTAGCTGGTAAAGTAACCCACGCGGCTATGGATTTTGATTCGGATTTCTCGAGCCAGCTCAGACCAAATCTTCTCCACGATTCTTCTGGGCGACTTGCCATCCAATTGGCAATAAATCAAGACGCCCACACGCCACCGAGCCGCCGCACTCTCGGGGTCCTCTTATGACAGCTGGGGCGTTGAGGGGTTAAGGAGTGCCCACCACAGCCCACCACTAAGGGGGGGCTCTCATTAGTTGCCAGCCTGCAGAACCAGCCTGCTATGGATTTCTGCAAAATGTGTCTTTTTCTCGCATCTGTATCTCGTGTATCTGAGAGATGTGCAATGTGCGTATCTTTCGGCTCACTCGACACCCAGCCAGCTGCCATCCTAAAACGAAGAGTAAGAGTATCTAAGAGTATCCGTATCTGTATCTGAATCTGTAAATGTATCTGCATCTGTATCTGAATCCCAGATCGAATGCTAGTTTCTTGTTTCTCACAAAATAAATGGGCAACTTTTTCTATTTTTCTATTAATACGCATGCCAGTACTCCTCCTTTTTGTTGGTCTTCATCCCGGAAAATCAATTGAATTTTCACGCATGTTTATAAGCGGTATTACTGTGTACAGTGGGCACTCGAAAGGTGAGGTAATTATTGTATTTCCTTGAAGAATTGTCTTTTTAAAACTCACTCTAAAATTTTATATTTTAGTTTCTTGGTATTTTTTTTGTAAAATATTCTCTAGCTCTATTAAGTTCTTTATAGAGTGTTTGTACTGTAACCCTCGATTAGCTGGAAATAAGCAAGTGAACTTTTTTCTCACAGATCTTGGCAGCAAAAAGTCGCACCCCCCTTCCCCATTTTTTTTTTCCAATTTTTACAGACCATCTCCCCCTTAAAGAAATACGTGGAATATAGTCGGCACTTAAGGCCCCACGATTTTTAGACTTGCAGGAACTACAATAGTGGTCATAAATATATGTTTAAGAATTTTTTAAATATTTTTAAAAATTTATTTAGAAGAAAGGTTCTCTTTTTGTCTTAAAAATTAATATTAAAAATAACCTCTTTGGATATTTGAAACCAAAAGTAGACCTATTCTACTGACTGGTAGTGTGCCATCCGAGTGTCGATATTTATGGCCTGGCCTTACACACATGTCGGCCAGCTTACATTGCCTTAGCAAGTGTTTTTGGCCATTTCCTTCTCGGCTGATAGTTTGGCGCTTTTCGCATTTTTCGTTTTGCGTTTTTCGTTTTTTTGGCTTCATTTGTTTACGAGGAAGTGGGGGTGGTAGGTGGGTGGTGGGTGGTGGTGGGGTGTTGTGGGATATCTATGGGTTGGGTTCTAGTTTTTGTTATGCTTTTCTGGCGGATACTTAGATACACGCATTTTTGCTAGGAGAAAAAAACAGCAAAAACAACAATAATAACCATAAACCACCCAACTATGTACTAGCCACCCCCCTCCCCCTTGGCCGCCTGTCCTTCACTCAAGCCACCCAACCACCCACCCGCCAGAACCCCCACTCTTCCTTTTCCGCCCCGACTGTTTGGCGTCTGTTGACCTCATTTTCGGCGAAAAGTTTTTTTTTTTATTCGACGAGTTCTTTTTTTTTTTGGCAGACAACGCACCAAACAAGGAACACATGGTGGCAGCCAGAAGATCGAGAAGATCGAGTAGATCACGATGCGGAGGCAGAAGAACTATATATATAAGAAGGCATCTACAAGATCTACGACATCCACGAGATACTAGAGTGTCAGTCGGAAAGTCAACGAACTGACGATAAGCAAACTAATCAGATAACAATAGAATAAAAAAAAAACAATACACTCAAGCTGGGGATAGTTGTTCCTAAAGGTGACGAAGGAAAATCAATTTTAATAAAATAAAGTCAGATAAAGTTTAATTCATTTAAAATAATTTGCTATTTTATTTTGAAATAAATGGGAGTAAAGATATATAATTCACAAATTTAGAGAGATCTCGAGATAATTTCCATCTAATAGCTTCTTTCGTTACTAATATAATTAAAAGAATGTCAAAAGCTTTCGTCATAAAATATATAATAATAGAAAAATATATTGGAAGCATATATAGTAGACAATTAGTAAAGAAACCATTCCCAATCGAAGCAAGGTTTAAAGGCAATTTCTAAAATATATCTATGTATGTAGTATAGTATTTTTATAGTGCTTTTCGTCACTGAAAAAGTTTTTGAAACATTTCATAGTATATAGTCATCAAATTCTCAGCTTCTTTAAGGGCTATTAGTTTCATAATTAAATTACCTAACAGTTTGAAGAATTATTTTTTGTTCAGAGGTACTTTTCGTCACAAAAAAGTTACCTCATTGCTTTCGTCATCAAATTCTCAGCTCCTTTGAGTTTTATAAGATTCATAATTAAATTACATAAGACTTTGGAGAATTATATTTATTTAGGGGCTCTTTTTGTCACGTAAAAGTAACTCCATTGCTTTCGTCATCAATTTCCTATCTTCTTTAAGGGTTATTAGTTTAATAATTAAATTACTTCAGTGTTTGAAGACTTATTTCTATTCAGAGGCAAATTTCTTCTAAATTCTTAGATCCTTTATGTTATTAGATTAAAAATCGAATAAGTTGGGAAAATTTCAAAATGAGTATTTCAAGTGCCTTCGTCACCAGTTGATTCGCCATCTCAAGCTCATATCTTTATCAGTTACATAATTAAGGTAAGTAAGATTTGCTAAATTAAACAAAAGTGACATATACTGTAGACTCTGTGCACACGTAAGATTTACAAAGGCAAACAACAAACTGTCGCGTAACTAATTAAAAAATGTATAAAAACAAATAAACATTTAAAATTACTGAATGCCAACAAAAAAAAAAAGTAATAAAGAAAAGTAAGCGAGGGCAGCGTTATAAAATTTAATCTACGAGTCCCTGTTTGAATCAATCGATCGGATCTTATGGGGGCTCTTAATGTGCCATCCCCCGAGCCACACACGTTTGTTTATTTATTTTTTTTGTTTTTTAATTATAAGCTAATTATAAGCTCCCTTGCCAGCCCGAAGGCGAAAAAGGCAAATAAACAAGTGCCATAATGGGATGCAAATTCCGCAGTGCAGTTTTTTTTTTATCAGCCTTTTGGGTTCAGCTCATTGAGAAAACAATACGACCTTCGCGAATGATAAAAAATTAATATCCACATCCGGTGCGATATTAAAGCTTCTCTTCCGATGTCCAGGGCCCTTGAAAATCCTATAACTATCGTACATATTTGTTTACATTTTGTGTTATGAGTCGGTCATGAATGGAGGTTTGTTCGAGTCCATTGTACTCGAATTTATTCAAGATTTGTTTACGTCCGAAAGGCACGTGCTTTTCGATTAGCGAATGTATGTATGGATCTTCTATCAAGGTCAGGGCTTCTATTTAATCCAAGTAGCCCAAGTAGCGTGGTGTTGTTATTCAAATTATTTATTACCAGCTCCCCAGACCATAGTCCATAGTGCGGCATGCTGCACGTTGCACGTGAATCACGATGGGGTATGGGGTACGGGTTCGAGTCCGGCGACCCCACAAAGCGCGTGATGTGCACGTCCCAAAAAAATGCATAAAAAAAGGAGGAATGAGGGGCAGTGCATGACGGACATGACGCTTGGCTGTCAGCAGTCCACATGATAGGGATGGGGTTAAGGGGCCATCCCCAAACCCCACCGGAGAAGGGGCCAACTTCGGGGAACGTGGACGTGCAAATGGACTTTTGATTGCAGGCGGCCTGTCTTTGTGTTTCGGCCAGAAGACCTTCTTCTGATTCTTCAACTTTATGGCTTTGTTTTTTTTTTCAAAATGTGACAAATGCATTCCACCTCATAAAAAAAAGGAAATAAACACCAAGGCCTTAGTTGCCAAAAAAGTTTTATTGCAAAAGGGATGTGGGGATATGTCATGTTGGGAGGGCCAGCTTAGAGGGTTCTGTCCTTTTCAGGGATGAGCCGGGACTGAAAAATATAGAGACATAATTGGTCCAAACTGGCTCAGGTTTAAGAATCTAAGATGGGAAGATTTGTCAGTTCTTCAGAATAAGTTAGGAGCCATAAGAAGGTCACTGTGATTATCCTTGAGACTTCTGAAGCTTCGCTTAGAGATTCCATCTTGATGTTATCCTTAAGGACTAATACGGAATTGTCGCATCAGGCATTGTCTTAAAGTCTTCCAGGAGAAGTGAGCTCTGAAGAATTGGCAGCAATAATTCTTCAATCTTGTACAGGTCGTATCTTTGGTCTTGATTGGGGCCTTAATAATTACACTATTCCGTTTCCAACACTGACAATTTATGGAAAACAGTGTTGAATAATGATAAAACTCGAAATTTGGATAAAAAATGTCCAAACTTGATCAAACTTGTCGAGATAACTGAGAATTTTGCGGTATTTCTTTTCTACAATCCATTCTAGAACTTTCTCTGGTCACACCGAACATTTTATGTTTTACTACAAGGTCACACCTGTCCATACTTGCTCAATCTTGTCAATTCTTGTAGATTCTTCCTTATCAGAGTAAGAGTTCCAAAAATATTACCAAAAACTTGCCCATCACTGAGAATTTCGGGGAATTTTGAATTTTGAATTTTAAAAAATCCAAGCCGAGTCATGGTCACACTTTTTCAAACATGTCGCAACATGTCCTCTAGTAATAGTGCCACACTGGCGAGCGTTTCTCCTTCTGGGTACGTCTGCTACCATCACCGGACAGCTCCAGGTCTTCGTTGCGATCCTTGAGGGCCATGTGGTGCTCCAGTTGCTGGTTCCTGGCATTCATCATGTTCTCGCTGACCTGGGCGCGCTTCTCCACCTCCTGGCACTGCGAGGACAGCTGTCGGTACGAAACAAGAGTCTTCAGCTCCTCCAGCCGAGCTATCAGAGGCTCCATCTCCTTGATGCGTTGCTCCACCTCCTTGATGGCCGTCTTCTGCAAGCCGAAGATCTCTTCCCGGCCCGGCAGCTGTTTCTGCAGCTTCTTGGCCAGATCCTTGGAGAGCTGGACAAAGTTGCGACGACGCCTCAGCTTGGCTCTCAGCTGGGAAATGAAGCTCTGGACATTGTCGAACGGCGGTATGTCGATCACCCTGACTGTCCGGATCGCCTTGTAGTCGGGTCGGATGTTCCTGTCCAGGAATGTGGGAACGACCTGCCCGGAAACGCCGAACGGCTCGATACTCTCCTCCAGAAAGCTGTTGATAGGTTGCTCGTCTTTGAGGGAGGGACAGGACAGGTTTATGGTCTCCTCGGCGAAGCTCAGGGCCCTGACGTTCTCCATCGCCTGCTTGGGGTCCAGACTCACGGTCGCCAGACACACCACATTCGCCGGCTGGCTGACGTCGAAGAAGTGGCCCAGGAACTGGGTCAGGCTGGACTCGCGGTGCGGTGGACGCTTCCTCTGGTTCCTGCCCTTCAGGACGGCCAGCTGGTTGAACTGCAACGTGGACAGGCACTGCTTCAGAGTGTAGACCGTTTTGAGGGCGTCGCAGGGTCTCCTCGTTTTCTGGACTTCGGTTTCGGGGGCCAGGACCTCCACCAGGGTCAGCTGGCCGCAGTCGATGCTGGTGCCCTTGGCTGGGACCTCCACAAAGGCCAGGTAGACGTTGACGAGGAGGTGACTCCTGCCCGATCCGGTCCAGAGGTTCTTGCGATTCAGAGCCATCTTGATGAGGCCTTCCGCCTCCTCGACGCTGCGGATCTCCAGGCGACTGCCCCTCACGGCATAGCTCCGGCCGCGCCCGTCCTCCCGCAGGATAACGGCTGCCGGACGAGTCTCGTCGGCGGCGGCGGGCTGCTCGCCGAGCAGGTCGTAGAAGCTGCCCTCGTGCACCATCAGGGCGCCCAGGAAGCAGGCGTGCTTCCGCCGATGGGTCAGCAGCTTGACGCCACCAGTCTGCCACAGGCAGTCCGTTCGGTGTTTGTCAGCGGCGGCGCGCTCCTTGTGGGTGGCTGCCACCGGGGCCTTCTTGTCGGAGGCCATCCGGAATCCTGTCCCCGAGTCGTTCGCTAGGATCTGGCACCGATCCACGAACTCGCAGCCGGCACTGCGGAAGACGGCGTTGATGCACCGGTAGAGGAGCCCGCCCTCAATGGTGTCCCGGGGATGGGGGCCGAGGAGGGTGTGTGTCTTGCCGCTGCCCCCGGCGCCGGTCACCAGGATGAGGCCACTGCCGCCTGTGTAGAGTTGCCGAAGAGCCGCCTCGCCAACGGTCCGGAACACCAGCAACTGCGTAGCACATTCCGAAAGGACGCTCCGGAACCGGAACTCCATCTGACCTGGCAAGCCAGTGGCGGTCGTTCCGGTTCCGGGGCTGGCTCCGGCGTTGGCGAGGTCGGCAGTACTCCGGCTGGCCGGGCAATGTGACGATCCTGGTGTCTGGGGGGTCCGGGCCGGCGCCGAGGGCAGAGCCGAGCGATCCACTCGCACTGTACTGGGCGGGACCTGCTCCAGCCAGGCACGTGGTTGCTCCGTGCCACCTAGCTCCTCGCCGAGTGGCTTGATCCGGAGATAGACTCGAAGTAGCTGCTGGTGGATGCGACGCTGGTCCAGGGGCTCCAGCAGCTGGGAGTGGGATGGCGCCTCCGAGATGCTGCGCCGGAAGGTCTGCTTCCTCGGTGCGGGAGCCAGGCTCTTGGAACGCTCTTGCTTGGTCGGCATCTTGGTGATGGACTTGGAATCTTTAACTGGCATCGTGGATACTCTGTGGCGGGAATCTGGATTAGCTTGGGGTTAGGAGGAGAGCAGGGGGGCTAAGTAATTGCTTTGACCTAGTGACTGGTTAACGAGGGGCCCTGGGGGGGGCTAAGTACACTAAGAAAAAATAGCTACTAGCTACTAGGTTGAGGTTTATAAAGGGAGACATATTCTAAGAAGTGTGGAGGAGTCTCTAGAATCTTAGATTCTAAAGATATAGTGCTAGTTCTCTTGTAGGTAAAGAGGTCAAGAATTGATACCTTTTCTATATATAATATATTATAGATATCATAGTACTTAAGGATCTTATATAGGACCCTATTGAGCTCCTCTATTAGAGGAGGTCTATGTATTATCCGTTTCTGGGAAATAATTTCCAATAATAATTGTAGTAATATACCATCTCATACTCCCTTTTTCAATAATTTTTCCCACTCCTACATGTCTATGGTCTCCAACTTCTTTATTGGATATATTGCTCTCCAACTTCACCCCCAAGTAACCCCCTTTTTATAGCCGTGTATTTGTTGAGACAACTTCCAAGTTGAGGCTTGTATTGATTCCAGATTTGTCGTCTGGCCATTTTTATGGCCATTTCGCCATTTGGACCGTCTGGCTCCGTTTTGTCTGCCGAGTTTGGTTTGGTTTGGTTTGGAAAACAAAAACACAAGAAGTCTCGCCAAGAAGTCGGATGAGCCATGAGGGAGGAGGAGTCCACATTAAAGCCAGGGCCAAGAGCCAAGAGCCAAGCCTGGCATGACAAATGCAAATTAATTGACATCCGTTCGAGTGCAAAAAAATTAGGGTTAAAAAAAAGAAGAACCTCTTCAGAGGGGGTCGGTCTTGAGGAATATAAACATTTCGTCTGTATCGCCGCTATCTTTAAAAAAAAAAAAAAAACCCTACCCTTATCTGCATAAATATTTGCAAAAAAAAAAAAGAAAGAAAAACACCAAGAATGAAAAATCAACAACCCAAAATGAAAATATTTTTGAAAAATAAACAAAACGAATCCTCAGACTCGAGAGAAGACAAATACGAGCAACTCACTTCCCTATCTTTGAGTAAATAAATCGTAAACCCTGGAGGGATATGAGGGATATGAGCCTATATCCTGGATCAGGCTATGGTGCTGGTTTCTTATGCAATTTCGGAACGATTCTTCGAATCTCCAGAGCTGATGCCAGCATCATCATAGCATCCATAGCTCTCTAAATGGAAACCTGTTTTTGCGCATTAAACAAAGATTGCAAATGCAAATTATTATTCTCTCAGATATACTACTATTATTAGCACAACTTCAAGTATTACTAACACTAATGGAATGACTGGCTGCTGCTGCTGGTGCTGATTAATAACAATCAATGCCAGTCAATTAACTTAAAAATCGAATTGGCAAAAAATCGAAAAACCCGAAACCAGTTTCTTCATTGGCATACTCTGCGTGGACTGCCGAAGAATATACATATTCTTGTTTTGGCGGAGTTTATCCCAAAACACATATTATATTTCTTGTATAGAAGGTTTTAGTCCAACTGGGCCATAAATCATGTCCAAAGTTTAATGCCCAAACCGGTTTAAATCGGGGGGACGGGGGGTTTCAAAATTTCAAAATATTTCGGTTTTTAATTATTAAACGACAATGTTTCACAATGTTTTTTTAATGTGATTTTATAGAGGCTCTTAAAGAGGTTATATTTCTTATTACAAGAATTCATTATTATTGGGTTAAAACATTTCTTTCTACTTAAAATTGTATAATTCTTCTTAGGAAGAAGCTTAAATAGTCACTTAAATTCTTCTTAAATATACCCTTGATTCTAAATAAATATAAATATTTCTTAAATGATTTTCTAATTAAAAATATAGATTTCCTACTAATAATTAAAAATCAATTTCGTTGAAAAACAACAACTCTTACAAGTAAATATTGTATAACAAAGACCATGGCTATTTTTATATAGAAAACCTACCTACAAGGTAGATTGCTAGTATCTGAAAACAATAGATACTTGACCCTTGAAAAGGTCATCCTATAAAACAAAAGGATCAGTAACCCTAAGCCTGTAATATGTGAAATACCATTTCCTTGAGGGGTTCTCTTCAGAGATCTTTTGCAAAAGAGATCCCAAACTTACCAGTTGGTTTGGTTTGGCGCCAGACCTATAGAGTGGGTGGCCACCGAGTAGCCGAAGTGGGAGTGCGGATGTCCGTACTTGACGATCGGCAGTCGCTGTTCCAGGTTGAAGCCAACCACCAGGTTAATAGTTAGTAACAGGACTAACTTAATCCTGCTCAAGAACCACAGTAATTCCATTTTTTATTTTATTTTATATTTTAATTATTTAATTAAATTTTTTTAAATTATGAAATGCACGTGCTCCACTGAGCACGGCAATGGGCAAGGTGGTTGGGTGGTTTTTCTCTTTTTTTTTTGTTGTTGGGTGGTGTTTTAAAACAACAACAAAAACACTTAACGCGGCCTTTTCTGGCTCAACAGGTAGTTTGCTTTTCGTATTTTCTCTCAGGTAACAAAAAAATATTCCTGTATTGTATTTTGTTTTTCTCTTTATACGAGACACGCACTCACAGAAACAAAAATAAATATATATATATTTTTTTTAATTTAAAAAAAAAAATCAGTCAATCGTTAAATTACGTAAAGCCTTTACGAAAGCAAAAAAAAAAAATAACATTTGATAAGATTCGTATTTAATCAATCGGAAATTCGGTTTTCGCGGCACGACGAGCGGCACGAACCACTTCGTACGGAATTATTTGATACTCTGAATCTGAATCCGAAAGATACAATTTCCGCCCAGGGCTGCCGCATCGAACTCAAACATGGTTCGAGTATGGAATGTTGGTTCGACGAGCGCCAGTGTTGAGCAATTTCCAACAGAAATTCTATTTTTTTACGTTTTCCAACAAAAAACAGAAATTCGCGCGCGTTTTTTCTTTGAAAGTTGAAAAAAAAGTAGTAGTAGTAGTTTAGTACTAGTTTATTTAACACCCATGGCTTGTTCTTATAAAACATACCACTACACCACTAGTTATTGACTAAATCTCCTAGTTTATCTTTACTCCATAGTCGTTTATTTGTACTATAATCCACCATATACACCAATACTTACTTGATAACTCCTTTGAAAAAGGCACTACAAAAATTTAGAAAAGTATCCAAAAGGTTCTATTATTTTGGTTTTAAAAACTAATATTAAATGTATGAAAAAAAAAAAAAACAATTATTTTTAAAACTGAGAATTTAGAACTGAGGTCTGTTCGGTATGAAATCAGAAACAATAATGAGAAAATATACAGCTTGGATGTGACAGTTGATTTTTAAGAATGCAAGGCCTATGTGATTATAGAAAATTATGAGCAAGGATACGGGGAAAAAATAGCCTACTATTCTAATAATATTATATTCTAAAAAAGTATATTTTTAAAGAAAAACAAGAGAATAATTTCACTATTTCCAGAATAAATCAAGTATTACTAGATATGGATATAAAATAGCTAGATATAACTAGCTATATAACTAGATATATTAAAATTAAAATTTATTAGATTCAGAGATTTTTTTTGAATTGTTTAATTATTTTATTATATTATTTTATTACATTTTTTGAAAGATCTTAAGAAAGTTTATTTTTTCAAATTACAAAAGTAGTGTTGGTTATTAGCGCCCTATCGATAACTATCGCCCTTTCTGGTGCCTCCCGACTATCGTTTTAAGACCACCTCCAGCCGTAAGGCGCGTGCGCAAATGAGGAGAAAAATTCCATGAATTCCAGATGAATTCCAGCGTTTGCATTGCAATACACCTGTGTAAGCTTCAAACAATAATCCCTGCTAAAAGCCAATAAGTTGACTCGATTATTGGCCAAGTGTCTAATTGTTTCGTGGAGTGTGCACCGAAAAACAAACCTCCCGAGTTCAAACCAGAAAGTGGAAAGGCTTACCTAGGGTCATAATTATTTGAAATTGTGTGTCAGTAGGAGAAATCGATTTTATTTTCGGGAAGCTGTAAACAACCCCTGTGCTTCAACAACCAACATCCAGCACCAAAAATGGCTTATGTGAGTTCATAATTTCACTTTCCATACATTTTATGCTTTTGATATTAATTATTAGAGTGTTTTTCTTGCAGAGATTAAAGGCCACAAAGTGTCCCACGGACGAGCTTTCCCTCACCAATCGTGCTATTGTGAATGTTGGCGACTTTCCCGACGATGTCAAGTAGGTGCTCCAGTGGACATAACACTCTCACATCCTTGTTATCCTTCCTTGCTGGGTTGTGTCTCTTCCAGGTATGCAGACATCTCGCCCGCCCCGGGCCAGCACTTCATCTTCGCCCTGGAGAAGACGGTGGAGGTGCCCAGCGGCTATGTCGGCTTCTCCCTGGTCCAGCGCAAGTGGGCCATGGTCTCCATCAACCAGGAGCTGGAGGTGCGTCCCTACCGCTTCGATGCCAACTCCGATGTCATCACCTGTGTCTCCTTCGAAACTGATTTCCTTCAAAAGAAAACGTAAGTTTGGTGAAAAGTTTTTTTTATTTGAGGGGGAATGCAATTAAATTGAGGAACAAATGCTACTAGAGATTGGGATTGAGATTAGGATTATGTAGTTAGTTTATATTTAGAATAGGGTTCCGTTTGTCTGTCTGTCTACTAGAACTTGAACTGTCTGTTTTAATGCTATCGACTTGAAACTTTTGCATACACCATTCTTTCCTTTGCACGCATCTCGAAAAAATAAACAAAAAATCTGAAAAATATTTTGTGTCAGGATTTTGATGCAGAATGGTGGAGAATCGATCTAGAAATCGTTTAAAACACTCCGCTTGAGAATCGGATGCGAATTGGTGAAGATATAGCCATCGCAGTGGGCCCTATAGGGAAAAACCCCATTTTCAGGGCATCCATCAGGAAAAATGGGAAAAAAATATGAAAAATATTTTGTGTCAGGATTTAAAACACTCCGCTTGAGAATCGGATAAGAATTGGGAAAGATATAGCCATCGCAGTGGGCCCTATAGGGAAAAACCCCATTTTCAGGGGATCCATCAGGAAAAATGGGAAAAAAATCTGAAAAATATTTTGTGTCAGGATTCTGATGCAGAATGGTGGAGAATCGATTTGGAAATCGTTTAAAACACTCCGCTTGAGAATAGGATGCGAATTGGTGAAGATATAGCCATCGCAGTGGGCCCTATAGGGAAAAACCCCATTTTCAGGGGATCCATCAGGAAAAATGGGAAAAAAATCTGAAAAATATTTTGTGTCAGGATTCTGATGCAGAATGGTGGAGAATCGATCTGGAAATCGTTTAAAACACTCCGCTTGAGAATAGGATGCGAATTGGTGAAGATATAGCCATCGCAGTGGGCCCTATAGGGAAAAACCCCATTTTCAGCGGATCCATCAGGAAAAATGGGAAAAAAATCTGAAAAATATTTTGTGTCAGGATTCTGATGCAGAATGGTGGAGAATCGATCTAGAAATCGTTTAAAACACTCCGCTTGAGAATCGGATGCGAATTGGTGAAGATATAGCCATCGCAGTGGGCCCTATAGGGAAAAACCCCATTTTCAGGGGATCCATCAGGAAAAATGGGAAAAAAATCTGAAAAATTTTGTGTCAGGATTTTGATGCAGAATGGCGGAGAATCGATCTAGAAATCGTTTAAAGCACTCCGCTTGAGAATCGGATAAGAATTGGGCAAGATATAGCCATCGCAGTGGGCCCTATAGGGAAAAACCCCATTTTCGGCGGATCCATCAGGAAAAATGGGAAAAAAATCTGAAAAATATTTTGTGTCAGGATTCTGATGCAGAATGGTGGAGAATCGATCTAGAAATCGTTTAAAACACTCCGCTTGAGAATAGGATGCGAATTGGTGAAGATATAGCTGTCTTTTCTAAGCACTGCTTTGAAGCTTTTGAAAACCGATTTCAGGTTGATGCCATTTACACCGACTTCTCCAAAGCCTTCGACAAAGTGTGTCATGCTGCCCTTCTGGCCAAATTATATAAATTAGGTATTCATTCCTGCCTATTAAGTTGGTTCGAGTCTTATCTGGCTGACCGACCTTGCCACGTTACTGTTGGAGACGCTATCTCAAGCCCATTTGTCACCTCCTCTGGTCTTCCACAAGGCAGCTCTCTTGGACCTCTTCTATTTATAATTTTCATTAATGACATCTCGTCATGCTTTCGTCATTCGCACTTTTTAATGTATGCGGATGACCTTAAAATCTATAAAGAGATTAGCTGCATTAGTGACAGTTACTTGTTACAGGAGGATATATCCAGAGTTTACTCATGGTGCTCCCGCAATCTTCTTCCATTAAACTTATCTAAGTGTTTGTTTACCCGTTACAGTAGGCGGTCTCTTGAAATCTGTACGGGTTATTCCATCAACAATTATAATTTGGCAGCTAAAGAAGAGGTGTTAGACCTTGGTGTCTTATTCGACAGCAAATTTAAATTTTCGGGTCACTTAGACTACATTTTACCTAAAGCGTATGCTATGCTGGGCTTTGTTAAGAGGCACGTGAACCAGTTTAAAAGTCCATACTCGAGCCTCAGCGTCTATGCTGCATTCATTCGGTCGAGGCTGGAATATGCCTCAATCATTTGGAACCCGGAGTGTAAAGTTCGTTCCAATAGAATTGAGCGACTCCAGAAAAATTTTTAAAATTTGCACTTCTGCCTCTAAGGTTTCAGGATCCTGTTCCTTCATACCAGAGCCGTTGCCTTCTTCTGAACGTTTGCACGTTGGAGGATCGGCGTAAACTGGCAGCGTTAACCTTTTTAAATAATTTAATCGTTAATAACATTGATTGTCCTTTTTGTTGGGACTCGTTAATTTTAATGTTCCTCAAAGGGATCTTCGTACCTTTGCCCCCTTTCGAGTCAAATGTCATAGGGCCAATTATTTCTTAAATGAGCCGATAGAGCGGGCTCTTTCTTATTTTAATTCTTTGCCGCCTAGCCTCCGAACTGAGTGGGGCTCAGATAAGGGTGTGTTAAAACACAAGTTATTAAGGCATTTATTAAGTTTTTGTTAATTTTGTAGTTTTATTTATTAGGTGTAAGTTGTTATGTTATGTAGCCATGTAAGGATTTGTCCATTGGCGAAATAAATAAATAAATAAATAAATAAATAGATATAGCCATCGCAGTGGGCCCTATAGGGAAAAACCCCATTTTCAGCGGATCCACCAGGAAAAATGGAAAAAAAATCTGAAAAATATTTTGTGTCAGGATTTTGATGCAGAATGGCGGAGAATCGATCTAGAAATCGTTTAAAACACTCCGCTTGAGAATCGGATAAGAATTGGTGAAGATATAGCCATCGCAGTGGGCCCTATAGGGAAAAACCCCATTTTCAGGGGATCCACCAGGAAAAATGGAAAAAAAATCTGAAAAATATTTTGTGTCAGGATTTTGATGCAGAATGGCGGAGAATCGATCTAGAAATCGTTTAAAACACTCCGCTTGAGAATCGGATAAGAATTGGTGAAGATATAGCCATCGCAGTGGGCCCTATAGGGAAAAACCCCATTTTCAGCGGATCCATCAGGAAAAATGGGAAAAAAATCTGAAAAATATTTTGTGTCAGGATTCTGATGCAGAATGGTGGAGAATCGATCTGGAAATCGTTTAAAACACTCCGCTTGAGAATAGGATGCGAATTGGTGAAGATATAGCCATCGCAGTGGGCCCTATAGGGAAAAACCCCATTTTCAGCGGATCCATCAGGAAAAATGGGAAAAAAATCTGAAAAATATTTTGTGTCAGGATTCTGATGCAGAATGGTGGAGAATCGATCTAGAAATCGTTTAAAACACTCCGCTTGAGAATCGGATAAGAATTGGGCAAGATATAGCCATCGCAGTGGGCCCTATAGGGAAAAACCCCATTTTCAGGGGATCCACCAGGAAAAATGGAAAAAAAATCTGAAAAATATTTTGTGTCAGGATTTTGATGCAGAATGGCGGAGAATCGATCTAGAAATCGTTTAAAACACTCCGCTTGAGAATCGGATGGGAATTGGTGAAAATATAGCCATCGCAGTGGGCCCTATAGGGAAAAAGCGCTTGAGAATCGGATGGGAATTGGAGAGTTAGTTCCGTACCATTTTCTTGAAAGAATAGGAATGAATCTTCGTTTGTTTCCTTTTAGTTTAAATAATCTTGAAGAAAAGGCAGAACCTTTATATATATAGTATAACTTTTAATTGGATTCCTCCTCCTATTAGTGTTTTAATAGAATAAAAATAAGTCTCTAATGTATAACCCCCCTCTTCACTGCAGCGTCTCCCAGGAACCGTACGACTCCGACCAAATGGCCAAGGAGTTCATCATGCAGTTCGCCGGCATGGCCCTCACCGTGGGCCAGTCGCTGGTGTTCAACTTCAAGGACAAGAAGCTCCTGGGCTTGGCCGTAAAGTCCTTGGAGGCCATCGACCCGAAGAGCCTGGGCGAGGGCAAGGAGCCGGCGATGCGGAATGTGCGCTTCGGGCGCATCCTGGGCAACACGGTGGTGCAGTTCGAGAAGGCGGAGAACAGCTCCCTGAACCTGCAGGGCAAGAGCAAGGGCAAGGTGGTGCGCCAGTCGATCATCAATCCGGACTGGGACTTTGGAAAGATGGGAATCGGCGGCCTGGACAAGGAGTTCAACTCGATCTTCCGGCGGGCCTTCGCCTCGCGAGTCTTCCCCCCGGAACTGGTGGAGCAGCTGGGCTGCAAGCACGTCAAGGGCATCCTCCTGTACGGCCCGCCCGGCACCGGCAAGACCCTGATGGCCCGCCAGATCGGCACCATGCTGAATGCCCGCGAGCCGAAGATCGTCAACGGGCCGCAGATCCTGGACAAGTACGTGGGCGAGTCGGAGGCCAATGTGCGCCGGCTGTTCGCCGAGGCCGAGGAGGAGGAGAAGCGGCTGGGCCCCAACAGCGGCCTGCACATCATCATCTTCGACGAGATCGACGCCATCTGCAAGCAGCGTGGCTCCGTGGCCGGCAACAGTGGCGTCCACGACACGGTGGTCAACCAGCTGCTGACCAAGATCGATGGCGTCGACCAGCTGAACAACATCCTGGTGATCGGGATGACCAATCGACGGGACATGATCGACGAGGCTCTGCTGCGACCCGGCCGCCTCGAGGTCCAGATGGAGATCAGCCTGCCGAACGAGCAGGGCCGCGTCCAGATCCTCAACATCCACACCAAGCGGATGCGGGACTTCAACAAGATCAACGAGGACGTCGACTGCAAGGAGATCGCCGCCCTCACCAAGAACTTCAGCGGCGCCGAGCTGGAGGGTCTGGTGCGTGCCGCCCAGTCCAGTGCCATGAATCGACTGATCAAGGCCGACGCCAAGGTCACCGTCGATCCCGAGGCCATGGAGAAGCTGAAGGTGAACCGCGACGACTTCCTGCACTCCCTGGAGAACGACATCAAGCCGGCCTTCGGCACAGCCCAGGAGATCCTCGACAATATGCTCGCCCGCGGCGTCATCAACTGGGGCACTCCCGTCAGCAATCTTCTGGAGGACGGCATGCTCTACGTGCAGCAGGCCAAGGCTCCCGAGTCCAGTGGCCTGGTCTCTGTCCTGGTGGCCGGGGCCCCCAACTCGGGCAAGACCGCTCTGGCCGCCCAGCTGGCCAAGATGTCGGACTTCCCGTTCGTCAAGGTCTGCTCGCCGGAGGACATGGTCGGCTTCACCGAGTCGGCCAAGTGCCTGCACATCCGGAAGATCTTCGACGACGCCTACCGCTCCACGCTCAGCTGCATTGTGGTGGACAACGTGGAGCGGCTGTTGGACTACGGCTCCATTGGACCGCGCTACTCCAATATGACGCTCCAGGCCCTGCTGGTGCTGCTCAAGAAACAGCCGCCCAAGGGCCGGAAGCTCCTCATCCTGTGCACCTCCAGTCGTCGGTGAGTCATGGTCATGGTCATAACAGTCTTCTTCTACTAATTCTCCTTTTTGTGTCGCGCAGGGAGGTCCTGGAGGAGATGGAGATGCTGACGGCCTTCACTTCGGTGCTGCATGTGCCGAATCTATCGCATCCGGAACACATCCTGGCCGTGCTCGAGCACACGGATATCTTTAGCAAGGGCGAGGTGCAAGCCATCGGCAAGAAAATGGCCGGAAAGAGGTTCTAGTTGGAATATCCATCCCGAAAGTAGTCCTTAATCTTGTGTTTCTCTTGCAGGGTCTTCATTGGCATCAAGAAGCTACTGGGCCTCATCGACATGGCCCGGCAGACCGAGCCCTCCCAGCGGGCCATCAAGTTTCTGTCCAAAATGGAGGAGGAGGGCGGCCTCGACATGGTGGCCCGCCAGTAGGCGCCACCCTGCGACCCAGCCACCTCCCAATACAATGCAATCTCAATTATTAGCTTCTAAGTGCAGGAGTTGGAGGCAGAGGCACGACAAACACCGCAACCACAATATATATAAAATGCAAGCCGATGCAGAATCCGATCTAAACACTATATATGGTACATATATGTACGACCCAGGCTTTGCGTTGTTCGGATTATATAGACATATATATATATATATGTAATGGAAGAGGAGCTATTTACGTAATTCCCGTGTTTCTGAGTTCCCGTACACAGAGCACAATCAGATCGGAGAGATATATGTGAGATATAGTATGTGAGACCCGGGACCTGAAGATTTCACAAAGAAGAAGAAAGCGCTGGAGAGCGAGAGAGCTGTTACAGAAGATAGTCTCAATAACCAATATTAGCATGATATCCTTATCGTTGACTTTAATTTTAGGATCCAGGATATCTCCTTCAGGATCCAGGATATCGCTTGGCAGACACCGAAAGCCACAAGAAAACACCAAAAAAAAAAGAAAATACGAGAAAAAAAAACCAAAGTTGTTGTTTATCAGTGATTACGAACGAAACTACCTAATTAATTAATTAACAAAGAACATAAAAAGAAATTTATTAAATCAAATATTGTTAACCGCCAATGTTATATATACATATACGTATATCTTTAAATAAAGCAAACGATCTCGAATTCCATCTTAGGTGGCTCTACATAGGCCCTGAATATATTATATATATATATTAATATAAATAAAGCAATTAACTAATTCAACCAACTAACTAAAGACGCTCACTAAAGCTATAATAATTGTTTTTATGTTTTTATTTTGAATTATAATACCTTTTCCTAAAAGTAAGCTTTATAAATATGGCAAAAAATGTGTTCTCTAAATGTTTACAAAAATATAAAAACCCCAATTGGCAATTAAAAACATAATATTAAAAACGGTTTTTAAAAAAAAGGTATAAAATTGTTAATAAACTGCATTAAAAAGTAATTATTAACAATTTTTTTAGCTTTAGCTAAACCTAATTTTGTAAAATTTACTTGTTGGATTATTAGAGAAAAATAAACCATTGGCTATTAAACTAATCGGAGAGTGAAGTTTTTATTTTTAAAAATTATTTAAGCTTTTAAACGATATTCAAGTTTATTTTTAGCTTAAAAGCTTCTTAAACTTTTAACTTTACCTTTTAGGTTTTATATTTTTCTAGATTCTTTAATTCTTTATAAATTATTATACATTTTTTGCTTAATTATTCTTTTTAAAGTTTCAAATAAGTATTTAAATAATATCGCTAACCCCCACCTCCAATAAGATCGATAAGTATCGTCATATCGGTTAAAGCCGATTGGAAGTTGGTATTTTTTTTTGCCAGCAGTTGCCGATATTTCCAATTCATAAAATAGTTTACAAAAGTCCATTGAAATAATTTATTTCTTAAAAAATAAACATAATAATTTAAAATATTAACTTAAAACCCTCAAAACTTTAAAATATTTACGTAAGAAACCTTCCAATTAGATCGATAACTTATCGGTTTTGGTATGTTTTTTCAGACTTGTGGTATTTTTGTAGTGCGACGGTCATACTAGCGGCCAGCTGATCGGCAATGCACCCACACCGACACACACACACTGACGCACACGAAACGCACGTGCTGACGGCTTTGTTCGTTTTTTATTGGATTCGCCGCTGCCAGCTCCAACCAGTTCACCTTCTTTGGTCACTCCGGCCTGCACCGCACCAGCTCCAGCTCCGCTCCGCCCCAGCTACTGCATAGTTTCGCTCGTTTCGCGATGGGTAAGAACAAGCGCAACAACAAAAACAAGAAGCAGCCGGCTGCTGGAGCTGCCGGTGGGGGTGATGCTGCCGCTGCGAAGAGCGACTCTAACGGAACTGTTCCAAGCAACTCCAATGGGAACCGGGCGATACCTGAACTCAGTTACCGGCCCAGGAGACAGCTAAACGAGCTGGTGCTGAAGCTGCTGGCACTTGTGGAGGTGCAGCCGGAAAATCCCAAGGAGGAGTGGAATCAGTACGTCCAGATTCAGGACCTGCTGCAGAGGATCATCGAACTGGAGGAGCCCATCAGGCTGGCATCCGAGACGGGCTCTTCTGCCGGCGACCGGCTGGCCAAGGTGGAGCGCTTCAAGGAGTGGGCCGAGAGCAGAGGCGTTGTCAACACGGCCGTGGAGATAGCCACCATCCCCGGCTACGAGCTGGGCCTGAAGGCCACCCGCGACATCCAGGCCGAGGAGAAGGTGCTCAGTGTGCCGCATCACACGATCTTCTCGATGGAATCCCTGCCCGAATCGGAACGCAATCTCATCGACAACTTCTCGGCCCTGGGCAACCTCAAGCTGGTCTACGCCCTCATTATCGAGAGGGCGCGCGGCGACCAGAGCCCCTGGAAGCCCTACCTCGATGTCCTGCCCGCCCAATACAACACCGTCCTGTACTACACCCCCGACCAGATGCAGAGGCTGCAGCGCACCTCGGTCTGTTCGGAGGCTGTGCGTCAGTGCCGGCTGATAGCACGCCAGTACGCCAATATGTACACGTGTGCCCATGTCCCGGCGAAGGCCACTGGCACGGAGGTGGCCAACAAGGGCGCCTACTTCACTGCCCATGGAGTCTGCTACGAGGTATACCGGTGAGTTGAGGGCCAGGTGGTGGTTTCTTGATGCTTTTTTTTGTTAATATTTTGGATATTCTTTGTTAAAGTTTAGTTTTTCTTGCTTTTCTTAACTATTTTTTGTTTAATTTTGATATTTTACTATTTATTTATTGAGTTTTTAAATATTTAAAGTATTATTTTAAATTAGAAAATTCTTAAAAAGTGGAATTTAAGAGCTTAACTCCAGAAGAGTCTTTTTTTAAAAGCCATTTTTTAGTAAAATTTATGCCTAGAGTTGTTTTTAATCAAAACTTTCTTTTAAAAAGTCTTTAAAAATTAGTTAAAAATTAATATTTTTGTTTCAAAAAAGTCTAGAATTTCTAAAATGAGCAATAATTTTAAAAAATATAAATTTTTAGTTGAAGAATATTCAAGATTTTAGCAAAAACTTTTCATTATATTTTTACAAATAGTTTACTATTATTATTTAAGTATATTTTTGTTTAAAAAGAGCCCCCTATTTATGCTCTTCCCCCTTCAAAAGCCCTTGAATTTATTATTTTTCTCAAAAAATCACTCCGATTGCGAAATTCCTTTGATTGAAATGCGATTAGTTTGTTTTGTAAACACCAGAAAACCAGAACTGCCCATTTTGGTTTAAAATTACGATACCTTCGGCGCCGATATTCTCTCCCTTTAGTTGGAAATTGTTTTGCTGGCTGGCTGGCTTGGCTGGCTTTGGTGATCCCCGAGGCACTGCACCATCTGGCCCCGCGCTGACCTTCCACGTCTGGCATTGCGATTGCAGGGATCTATTTACAGACTGGCTTCCACTTTCCACACTTTCATGGGCCAATGTAGATGGTTTCCCTTTCCATTTCGGTTGAAACCACATCTCTTCTTTGCCATTTGATGCTATTTTTAAACGACAGCACTTTTGATCCAAATTCCCATTGCAGAACACCCGAATAGGGGGGTGACTCATCAGGAAAATGCCTCAAATCTTTGCCACAATTTCTTCTACAATTTATTTATCTCAAAAAAATCAAAAATTTTTAACTTATGTACATACATATGTTGAGCGTGCTTAACTATATATATTATATATATTAGTTTATATATATATATATACTGTCGCCAGATGTTCTACTGCCTAGTGAGGGGGGGAGGAAGGTGGGTGGGTGGGTGGCTAGTGGGTAGTGGGTTTCGGGTTCAAAAATCAAAACAAACTATAAGTGCCTCTCGGTTCTATCTTAAATAAATATTTTTTTTCAAAAGTGCATTTCTTTCAACTATCTGTTTATGTGCCACGCCCTTTTTTTTTTTTAGTTTAATTCGCCTTGATCTAATTTTTGGTATTTTTTTTAGTCAGTGCCAGAAAAGAAATTTTATTAAATTTTTAGAATAGTCTTCCCTTCTTCTTCATTATTTTTATTGTCCTCATAAATGGTTTTCCTTTCGAACTCTTTCGAATTTTGAGAATATATCGTATAATTTCTTAATATTTTTGGGCTTTTCTTATTTTTTTAGTTTCTTTTTTTGGGATATAAAGTGTAAAAAACACAACACAGTACATTTTGGCTAAGTTTTTCTTTTCGATAGTTTTTATTTTTTATTTGTTATTTTTTATTTTAGTTCTTGTGCTTAGAAACCCATTTCAATGACGTGTCCTTTTCTATGGTTTAGTTGAAAGAGTCGCTTATAGTCGCTTCTTTGTGGTTTATCCTCGTACTTTCGATCTAGAATCTGTGTAGTTTGGAGAGACGATAGTTTGTCGAGCTTGGGGACTAGCAACAGCACGGGGCATAAACGTAGGGAACGTCTTTCTTTGGAAACTGTGGGGAGATTCTTTCAAGGGAGTTTCTTTTCTTTTAAAGATTAGCATCTATGATTAAATATTTATTTAAATATTATTCAAAGGAAAATATTCATAAAATTAAATGGTTCTTTAAAAACATGTATTAATGAAAATAATTTCATACAAAAATATACTACGTTTTATTTGAAAAATATTTGAAAAGTTTAAAAACTTTAGAAATTTTTTTGGAAATCAAAAACGTTAAGCAAAAACGTCCTTCTTGAAAATATTTCCTAACTATAAACCTTTATTATTTAAAAGTTAATGTTTATTATTTAAAAGAAATACTTGTTTAATAATATTTTAGTTAGGAAATATTTTTTTAAATCAAATAATATTGTTTCTTAACTTTTTTTGTTTAAAAATATCCCAAATAATTGCCATATTTATTGAATAGAGTTTCAAAAAGTCAATTTTCTAATTGAAATATTCAGAAATGAAGGTCTAATAGATCTAAAAGATAAATGATTTATAATTCCTATTGAAACTAAAGAGTTTTCAAAGCTAAATAATTTTCTAAAAATTGTAACCTTTAAAGACTCTTAAAGAAATAAAAGTTTTCAAATAGGTTTTCCAATCTTATATTTTTCCAATTCTTGTTTTTAAAAATTTAAAAAGACTCTTTTTAGAAAGCCCCCATGTTTATGCCCTTTGCTGTCTTGTATTTACTGCCTTTTATTTTCAATTTTGTTTTTATTTTCCTTTTATCTTTTAATAATATTCCTTAGTTTTGTTTTTTGTTAGTTATACTTTCTCTCACAGAATGTTCCTTCTCCACAAAAAAAAATATCGCGCCTTAAACTAATTAAACGACTAACTCTTGATCCTCGAGTGTGTGTGTGTGTGTGTGTGTGTGTGTGTGGAGGTGTGTCTGTGTGGGAGTGTACATAGTTGTATATAAAACTTGGCCTAAACAACGGTCTATGTGTTCCGTTACCAGGATCACCACTAAGGTCTAGGGTCTAGCACTAGTCTCTGCTCCTAATTGTCGAAGGACTTGCGCAGCGTGTCGAATAGATACTCCTGGACCTCTGGGGAGTTGGGGTCCATGGTGTTGAGCTTCTGATGGGCACTGCGCAGGGATATGGCCAGGCCCCGCCCACTCATGGCCGACTCGTGGCCGGGGGCGTTGGTGGCAGGCGTTGTGGGCGTCGTAACGGATCCGCCGCCACTGGTGGTCAGTGAGGTGGCCGTGCTCAGGGTGGCGGAGCCGTCCCGGGAGAAGAGCAGCGAGCTCTGGCGCTGCAGCTGGTGGACGGGCGTGCAGCATGCCACCGATGTGGAGATGCTAGTGATGCCAGGGCCTCCGTTCTCCGAGCGCTTCTTGCCGGTCCCAGTGCCCACACCCACTCCCATTCCCATGCCCATGCCCAGCTCCTCCATGTGGTGGCGCATCGATGCGGAACTGGAGGCGGCGCCGGATGCGGTGGCCGAGGGATGCCGGGGCTGCATTTGGGGCAACTTGCTCTTCATGGCGTTGTAGGTGCGCAGGTAGCTACTCTTCCGGCGCCGCTGCTGCTTCCACCGGCAGACCACGAAGACCACCAGGAAGGTGGCCAGGGCCGTCACCACGATCGCCGTGCTGGCCACCAGGGCCGATCGGATGCCCGACGGCATGCTGGAGTACAGGCTGCCCAGGTGCTGCTGGGAGACGGCGGAGGTGGCGGCCGCCGCTGCCGGGCTGCGATGGAAGCCCGGGCCGGACAGCTCCAGGTCCAGGAGGTCGTGTGCCCGGGCCACCTCGTTCTCGATCTCCTCAATCACATCGTTGTTGAACGGCAGCCGGGCGTTGTCCATCGTCGAGTTCCCCGAGGATCCGTAGGGACTCACGCCCAAGTCGATGTCGATGCTGGTCGGTTCTCCTCCTGCCAGATCCGATTCCGGATTCGAGGACTGCTCCTGGGAGCTGCTGCCGCCATCCAACAGAAGGCGTGGCGGCGGCAGGAAGTAGGGATTCCTGTCCTCCGTGGCCGTCGCCGTGGCCAGGGATGCCAGGGCCAGGGTCTTCCAGGACGGGAAGAATCCCAGCGACTTCTCGCCCCTCTGGTTGATGGTTATGGTTCCGCCGGGCGAGGAGGACGAGGAGACGGCTGTCTGCGCATATGTGGGTCCTGCAAGGATACGTTTTAGAGAGGGAGGGATATTTCAATTAATATTTTTAATACAAATTTCCCTTAAATTTCCCTCTATTTTTCTGAATCGATAAATATATAGCCTTCGATATCCGAAAAGGAATATATTAATAATCTCCCTTGACTAGCCTAAAAATATTTTCAAGTTCAGTTCTTTTATCTATTTCCCCACTATTTTTCAAATTTATTGAAGTTTCTTTTGAATTTCCCCCTATTTTTCTTTCAATCTGTAATAGGAAAGGTTACTCTTCAGAAATGTTTCTTATTTCCTTAGAATTCTTTACTTTGACTTGTTTAAAAATGAAAACACCCACTTAACTAGTCTACAAAATATTTTAAAATTATATTTTTAGTACAAAAGTTTTGAATTTCCCTGTATTTTTTTTTAATTGGTAGTTTCTTCAGAAACTGTGTCTTTAAATCATTTACTTGGCTGGAAAATAATCTAACACACAGTTCTATTCTCAAAAGATACTGTAAATAAATATTTTTTTTATGAAAATTTTCCTTGAATTTCCCCCTATTTTTTTAAATTTACAAAATAGATGCAATTCTTAATAATCGTTGCTTTGAAATCATTACTTGAAGTTATAATGATTAAATCCCCCTTAAATGATTAAATATTTTAACATATTGTTAAGAATTAATATTTTTAATCGAAATTGTCTTTAAATTTCCCCCTATTTTATTTTTAATTAACAAAAAGACAAAAAGTTCTTTAGAAATTCTGTCTAAAAATCGTTTCCTCAAGTCGGGTATTATTTAACCAACTAATCTACAGAAAAGGTGCTTTATTTTCCACTGAAATTGTCCTTAAATTTCCCCTATTTTTTCTTAATTGACAAAAAGAATAGTTATTAAGAAATTCTGTTTTAAAATCGTTTTTTCAAGACGTTTATTAGAAAAGGTGTTTTATTATCAACTGAAATTTCCCTTAAATTTCCCCCTATTATTTTTTAATTAGAAAAATTGTTTGGAAACTCTTTATAATTTAACCTACTGAACTACAGAAAAGGTGTTTTATTTTCAACTGAAATTTCCCTTGAATTTCCCTTGAATTTTTTCTCGATTTATAAAAAAAAAAAAACGAAAACTTCCTTTAAAGTTGTTCTTAAAAAAGAAGAATAATTTTAATGAAAAATGTTTAAATCTTAAATCTTAAACCAAAAATAAGAATAACTATCCCCGGCTGTTAGTCCTTAGTCCTCTGTCCGTTGTCCTGTCCCCTGTTCGTTGCCCCCGCCCCTCCTGCGGCTCTGTCGCTGCCTCTGCTGGCGCAACCGCAGGGCGGTAATACCTCGACTGCCTGGTGGCGGTGCTCCGCGGCCGGAGACGCCGGCTCCTCCGCCGAAGCCCGGCTTCACCTCGTCGTTGGGCTCGATGTCGATGATGGAGGTGAAGTAGCTGGAGCCCTGCGAGTCCGTCTTGATCTCGTCCGGCTTGACGCTCTTCAGGTCCATCAGGTTGAAGTGCGGAAAGTTCTCGAACGCCGTCACGATGTCCATGTTGTCCTGCAGGATCACCTTCTGGCCGGGATAGAGCCGCGAGTGCTCATCGCCGCTCACGATCGTGGAGAGGTGGAGCTGGCTGGAGCCGCGCTTCCGGTGCTCGATCAGCTCCTCCAAGGTCATGTTGCGCTGCTCCAGGACCTTGAACAGCCTGTTGCCCGATCTCCGGTCCTCGATCAGCTCCAGCAGATCCGTCCGGTCGTCCACATCGTCTACTAGATTCGTCTGGGCAGGGGGGAGCTTCTTTTTCTGGTCGCTGGTGATGGTGGTGGTGATGGTGGCGGCGGGTGGCTCAAAGGAGGGCGAGGGCAAAGCTTCCGGGGACTCCTCGGGCTTCCTGACTCGCGTATGATGCGTGTTGCTCTCCACTTCGTCGAAGAAGTTCTCCAGGTCGTCGTCGTTGTAGATAAGCTCCTCGCTGCTCCGGGACGGTGGTGGTGGCGCTGCTGACGTGGACGGTGGAGGTGCCTCTGAGGTGCTACTGGCACTGCCATCCACCACATCCTCGCCACTCTCGACTATGAAGTTGTCCTTGAGCCTCTTGGTGGTTTCCTTAATGCTGGAGTTTCTCAGGCGGTACCGAGGATTCCCGCCCGGATACGGCTCGGGGGAGGATGGTAGCTCCTCTGGCGGGGCTTCGGTTTGGTGGTGGCCTTCTCCGGACTCTGCTTCGCTGGAGTCCGTTGGCTGCTCCTCGACCTCCTCGTGGTTCTCGTGGCTCTCCAAGTCGCTGGGCTCCTCCTCGGACTTGTCCGGCACCTCCTCGCTCTGTTCCTGACCATAGACCGCCGGAGTGCTGGTGGTGCTAGTGGTGCTGGTCTCGACCTCCTGCTGCTGGGTGGTCATGGGCGGTGGCGGAGTGGTGCTCGTGGTAGTCGAGCTACCCACTGTCTTGAACAGTCCCGGTGGCTTCAGAGTGGAGCGCAGATGCTGCCGCTTCTTGTACAGGGGTATCCGGGTGGTGGTGCTGCTGCTGGTGGTGCTGGGCGATGGTGGCGCCGTGGTGGTGCTGGCTGGACGGCGGCTGGAGCTGCTGGCCTCCCTGGAGGAGCTGCCGAAAAGCTTCAGGCGCTGCAGAGCCGGCGGATACTTGGCCTTGTTCTTGTCCCGCTCCTCCTCGTGGCCATTGGTGCTAGTGGTGGCATATCCGGCCGGCAATCGCCGGACAATCTGCTTGTTCTGCTGCCCCACAGTCTTGTGGAGGGGCTCCTCGGCCCCGTAGGTGGTGGCCTGGGCCGGCGCCACCGCTGTGGTCTGCAGGGCCAGCAGGGCATTCTGCTTCCCCTTCAGCAGGTCGTCCAGCGACAGATTCTTCTGCTGGAGGATCTCGCTCAGGCTCAGGCCTCCCGAATTCTTGAGGATGTTCTTCAAGTCCACCGCCGTCTTGGAGGTGGGGGCTGCTGCTCCCTCCTGGCCGGCCAGGGAGTCCTTCTTGGCCTGCCCGTAGGGCCGGCGATAGGCCTTGCTGGGACTACTGCCCTGCGAGTTGGCGTCCTGCTTCTCCGGGTTCTCCCTGATGGTCAGGGTGCCGGGCTGTGGCTTTCGCCGCCTCAAGGCCTCGGCATCGTCCTCCACATGACCGCGCCAGTAGGCAGGGTCTCCGTTCTCCTCTTCGGTGGCTCCCATGGTGGCCAGGGGCAGTTGGGGGCGACGCTTCCGTTTCCGAGTGGCGCCCAGCTGTGGATTGCGACGTCTAGTGTTGGTGCCACTCCCGCTCCCGCTTCCACTTCCGCTTCCACTCCCATCGCCGGAGGAGCCCTTGCCATCGTCCACAATCAGAGAAACGCCAGTCTGCAGGAGCTGCAAGTAGGAAAAAGTTAAGAGTTTAAATATTTATCTTAAATATTATTTCTTAAATCAAGTTCAGTGTGTGGGATGTGTTTTCTTCGCAAATAAGCAAGTGGCTGAGGTAATGGATGGGCTACTACAGGTGCCCTGATTGATGGCCCCCCATCCTTGTTCTTAGTTTCCGCCCCAAAACCCCCCTCCCAAAAAAATAAAGAAAACATCACCCGGTTATGGACATTCCATTATGGACAAGTCTGTTGTTTATTGAAGGAGCCTGTCGTTGGCTTTTACGACGTCTGTGGATGAGGATTCTGAAATTGATTTCAGGGACAATATACTTTATAATCAGGGACTGGATGCTAATTCCCATCATCGGTGGGTGGTTTAGAGGGAGGAGGTCGGAAGGATGAGGTCGGAGGCCTGCAGGCCGCTTTTGTGCTCGCTCGGTTAATTAATTTTCGATTTACTTTGTCCGGAAGCCAAAATATCTGCAGTCGAGATAAAGACAGACACCGGCCTGCAATATTAATTAGAAACATCTCTATAATGCATATATGTCAGGGGCATGAGTTATGAGACCCACTCCTCCTCCACTTAATCAGACTAATGCAGATTGCCGATTTATGGATTCAATCCAGATGGCCTTCTGTTAAAGAAATAATTAGACCAGAAGCCAGGCCAAACTTTTTACAAAACAAACATACTGTGCTCCAAATAATGGATGCCCAGGGAGGTATTCGGAATACGGAATTCCAAACTGCATACCCGGAAGCATTGCACGCATTTCTCTCACGTCATTTGCTGTGACATCTTTTTCTTTTCGGGTTTCTGTTTCCTGTTTTCCGTTTTGTGGATTGCTTTTTCAATTTCTGGTCTGGAAAGGAAGACACAGGACGACTTTGGCAGAGGAGTATGCATGCATAATGAAGACCAACTGGGGGGGGGATGAGGCAAAATAAGGAGACATGAGCCTGGCAAATCGGATTGCAGCGTAAGAGTCTCAACTTGTCCAGGAGAACAAATACTCCAATCTCCTAGCTTCAAGCTTCAAGCTCCAACCTTCCAGCATGTCCTGTGCATCCCTTTTAGCTTTTCTTTATTGGGTTTTTTCAGGCATTTTGGCATTCAGGCTTGATTAAATGACCATTCTTGTGCAGAAAGCAAGTTGGCATTTTCGATTTTGTTTTTATTTTGCATTTGTGAGTTGTGAGTCCAAAGTCCACTCAAAGACTGGTTCTCTGCTTCTCAGCAATGCTATTTCTGAGACGCAATGACAGGATAAAAATCAAAAGCCAACAAAAAGGGTCCTTGCGCCAGAACGCCGCCAGTCACTTGACTGGAGAGCCGAAAAAACTCCCAGAGTCAAGGCTTATTACATCCATGTGGCTTGCCTCCCTCCTCCCACCTGTGACAGGTGCTGGTCCTTGGTAGCCTTCTCTATGGCTGTCATCCACAGACGACGGCGCTGTCATTGGCCTTCAAAAAAGCCCTTTTTTGGGCCACCTAGCCTAACCCACTCGCTTTAAGTCGATAAAAGTCAGACAGAGCGATACTTGTCATCGATAGGTGTCGAGAAAAGCTATAGCTGCCTCGGGTGGCACTTTCCACGTCAAACTCAAGTCGAATAGGTATTCAAAGGCTTTTTCAACACTTCAGGTACATTTTATTGCAATAGAAACTCTTAGAATAACTTAAAATTCTACAAATCGATAATTATCGATATTTAGATACTTCTATAGATACTTCTTGATACACTTTTAACGTTAAATTCAAGTCAAATAGGTATTCAAAGGCTCTTTCAACACTTCAGGTACATTTTATTTCAATAGCAACACTTAAAATAGCTTAAAATTCGAAAAATCGGTAATTATCGATATCACTGCCGTCGATAGTTACTCCAAGCTAGGTACAGCTGCCTCGGTTACTGGTTTTCTGATGAATTTCAAAGGAAATCTGCTTCCTGAAACTTTCATCCGATTAACTAAAACAGGCTAAGAAAAGAAAAGAAAAAAAAAAAGGATGAGAATGTTGATTAAAGCCGATTTACCAACACTGGCAAGCAGTGCCTTCTGATAACTTATTACTTTTAATAAAAGCCCCCCCTACCCCCACCACTGGCTGCTCCTTCAGCTTCTCTGAAGAGACATCATAACAGCCAATACAAAGGCTTCGAGAAAAAGTTGAAAACTTCTTGGCAGAGCACCTTCTTCCGCCTCCACTCTTGAGTTTTCCTCAGTTTTTATTTCTTTTTTGGATTTTTTGGTGATTCCAGTAACCAGAAATAAATACGAAAAAAGGAAAACTTACTGCTGGTCCGGGATTCTCCGGCGGTCTTGTTCCTGGTGATTTCTAACAAAGTGAGTGGCCTTCCCACCGCCCCCTTCCTAACCACTTCAAACAAGTGGCTGCTTTTCATAATTAAATTGAAAAATTTATGCACAATTAAATGAAAACTTTCCTTTGTGGCTAGGGCACCAGCCACCGCCTCAAAAGCCCCAAAAAAGCCGGCCGAAAATGGCCTCCACAGCCCCAAATAGGACGTAGTTGCTGAAAACACCCACTTTTATTTCCCTGCTTATTATTCGATGGATAACAGATTTGGTAGTATTTTTGGTTAGATAATTCCTTTATTAGTATGCTTTAGTAGGATTGTGTTCTTATATGGTACTGCTTATAGTATACATGGTACTTCTTATGATACGTTTTTTATTTTCTAGCTTAAATTAGTTTCGTAATAGGTTTTTCTTAGTTGTAAGATTTTTAGAATTTTTTTCTGGTAAGCGAAAAAAAATTGTAAGGGGCCCGGACGCTATTTTTTTTATTTTTTAATTTTGTTGATTTCGGGAAAATACGGTCATACTTTTTTGTTATGTAGACCTGGTCACACTAATTTTTTACCCACAAAAATACGACCACACTAAAATACGGTCATACTTTTTTGTTATGTAGACCTGGTCACACTAATTTGTCACCCACAAAAATACGACCACACTAAAATACGGTCATACTTTTTTGTTATGAAGACCTGGTCACACTAGTGTGTCACCCACAAAAATACGACCACACTAAAATACGGTCATACTTTTTTGTTATGAAGACCTGGTCACACTAATTTGTCACCCACAAAAATACGACCACACTAAAATACGGTCACACCTTTTTGTTATGTAGACCTGGTCACACTAATTTGTCACCCACAAAAATACGACCACACTAAAATACGGTCATACTTTTTTGTTATGAAGACCTGGTCACACTAATTTGTCACCCACAAAAATACGACCACACTAAAATACGGTCATACTTTTTTGTTATGAAGACCTGGTCACACTAATTTGTCACCCACAAAAATACGACCACACTAAAATACGGTCACACCTTTTTGTTATGTAGACCTGGTCACACTAATTTGTTACCCACAAAAATACGGCCACACTAAAATACGGTCACACCTTTTTGTTATGTAGACCTGGTCACACTAATTTGTCACCCCCAAAAATACGGCCACACTAAAATACGGTCATACTTTTTTGTTATGTAGACCTGGTCACACTAATTTGTTACCCGCAAAAATACGACCACACTAAAATACGGTCATACTTTTTTTTTATGTAGACCTGGTCACACTAATTTGTCACCCACAAAAATACGGCCACACTAAAATACGGTCATACTTTTTTGTTATGTAGACCTGGTCACACTAATTTGTTACCCACAAAAATACGGCCACACTAAAATACGGGCATACTTTTTTGTTATGAAGACCTGGTCACACTAATTTTTAACCTATAAAAATACGGTCACACTAGGCCCGTAGGCTGTAGCGCGTATGAAGGACCCCGTTGGGTGGAGGTCCACAATCGGTTCAAGTAGCCCTTACGGCTGAGTTTGGGTGGTGTAAGCCGTATAGTGCGTATCGTACGGCGAATAGCTTCTATTGATTAGCATTATTGCTTATATATGCGCCTCGCAACCCTTAAATATTAACCTTCTACTATTATTTACCTTTTTGTCGATAGATGGGCCGTGTCGACGGTGATGACCCGCCAGAACCTGGTTCCCCGCAAGTTCCACGTGAAAGATGAATCCGGGCAAGAGAATGTGCTGGAGGAGGAACCCGTCTCGGCCCTGATTCCGTTCTGGGACATGGCCAATCACGGGTCCGGCAAGATCACCACCTTCTTCGACCACTCCGCCGGAGAGGTGTCCTGCAACGCCCAGCAGGCCTATTCCGCCGGAGAGCAGTTCTTCATTTACTACGGAGATCGGTCCAATGCCGAGTTTTTGGTGAACAACGGGTGAGTGACCCCAATCATGACTTAATTCAATCGATTTCTATGGGACATCCTTTCAGGTTCGTCGATCCCGACAACCACAACGACTATGTGAACATCCGCCTGGGACTGAGTCCCACGGACCCGCTGGTCGAGAAGCGGGCCAGCATCCTGTCTGCCTTGGGCATCAAACGTAGGGTGGAGCTACGGGTTCTGCCGGCTCCCGTGTACATTCACGGCGACCTGCTGGCCTTTGTCCGGGTCTTCAACATGAGCGCCGAGCAGCTGGAGCACTGGACCAGCAACCTGGAGAGGGCGAGGGATCTGCAGTACATCGACTGCGCCCTGGAGACGGACCACGAACGCAGCACCTGGCAGTATCTGTACGAGCGCTTGAAGCTGCTGCTGGCATCCTTCGAGGCCTCCGCGAAAGCCACGAACAGTGAGCCAGAGAGCAAGGACTCTGATCGGGAGATCGACCAGATCATTCAGCAGTACCGTCGCCAGGAGAGGAGCATCCTTGCCGGAGCCTTGCAGTATGTTCAGGAGCATTGCAAGGTGTAATGGGAAGGGGAAGAACCACATCACTGAGCCTCACACACAACCACAACCACACACCCACACCCACACACAATTCGAGTGGCCATCGAAAGAAAAATCAACATACTTTAGCCTTAGCAGTTAACTGTTTTTAAACTTAATTTATATGAATTTTTTTTTAAAACCAAATGAAACCAAAATATTATTAACGACCACATTGAAGAGGTAGCTGGACCGTGTACCTCACAACTATTCATCGTCATCACCGAATATCGGAATACTCCTCGCGATTTTATGCTCGTCTACGTCAAATATTTCAAGTGTAAAGCGTCTAATTGTTTTGTGTTTGTTTATTTAATCTTAATTTAATCGATTTTATTGTATTGGAATTATATATGAAGTGAAAAGCAGTGGAGAGAGTTTGAATGGGTTGGTAGTGGGGTGGGGGTACCCCTAGGAAAAAAATCGAAAAATTTCAAAACGATATTTTGGCTATGTTTTGAATGAGGAAAGTCGCTTCTGAGTTCCCTGATTACAGAATGGTACTTTATTTCCCGATCGGATAACAATTGGCAGAGCTATGCCGATCTGAAGAGGAAAAAGTGGGGAATTTTGAAAATCAACAATTCTGCAGGGGTACCCCTAGGAAAAAAATCGAAAAATTTCAAAACGATATTTCGGCTATGTTTTGAATGAGGAAAGTACCATCTGAGTTCCCTGATTACAGAATGGTACTTTGTTTCCTGACCGGATAACAATTGGCAGAGCTATGCCGATCGGAAGAGGAAAAAGTGGGGAATTTTGAAAATCCACAATTTTGCAGGGGTACCCCTAGGAAAAAAATCGAAAAATTTCAAAACGATATTTCGGCTATGTTTTGAATGAGGAAAGTACCATCTGAGTTCCCTGATTACAGAATGGTACTTTGTTTCCTGACCGGATAACAATTGGCAGAGCTATGCCGATCGGAAGAGCAAAAAGTGGGGAATTTTGAAAATCCACAATTTTGCAGGGGTACCCCTAGGAAAAAAATCGAAAAATTTCAAAACGATATTTCGGCTATGTTTTGAATGAGGAAAGTCGCTTCCGAGTTCCCTGATTACAGAATGGTACTTTATTTCCTGACCGGATAACAATTGGCAGAGCTATGCCGATCGGAAGAGCAAAAAGTGGGGAATTTTGAAAATCCACAATTTTGCAGGGGTACCCCTAGGAAAAAAATCGAAAAATTTCAAAACGATATTTCGGCTATGTTTTGAATGAGGAAAGTACCATCTGAGTTCCCTGATTACAGAATGGTACTTTGTTTCCTGACCGGATAACAATTGGCAGAGCTATGCCGATCGGAAGAGCAAAAAGTGGGGAATTTTGAAAATCCACAATTTTGCAGGGGTACCCCTAGGAAAAAAATCGAAAAATTTCAAAACGATATTTCGGCTATGTTTCGAATGAGGAAAGTACCATCTGAGTTCCCTGATTACAGAATGGTACTTTGTTTCCCGATCGGATAACAATTGGCAGAGCTATGCCGATCGGAAGAGGAAAAAGTGGGGAATTTTGAAAATCCACAATTTTGCAGGGGTACCCCTAGGAAAAAAATCGAAAAATTTCAAAACGATATTTCGGCTATGTTTTGAATAAGGAAAGTACCTTCTGAGTTCCCTGATTACAGAATGGTACTTTATTTCCCGATCGGAGAACAATTGGCAGAGCTATGCCGATCGGAAGAGCAAAAAGTGGGGAATTTTGAAAATCCACAATTTTGCAGGGGTACCCCTAGGAAAAAAATCGAAAAATTTCAAAACGATATTTCGGCTATGTTTTGAATAAGGAAAGAACCTTCTGAGTTCCCTGATTACAGAATGGTACTTTATTTCCCGATCGGATAACAATTGGCAGAGCTATGCCGATCGGAAGAGCAAAAAGTGGGGAATTTTGAAAATCCACAATTTTGCAGGGGTACCCCTAGGAAAAAATCGAAAAATTTCAAAACGATATTTCGGCTATGTTTTGAATGAGGAAAGTACCATCTGAGTTCCCTGATTACAGAATGGTACTTTGTTTCCTGACCGGATAACAATTGGCAGAGCTATGCCGATCGGAAGAGGAAAAAGTGGGGAATTTTGAAAATCCACAATTTTGCAGGGGTACCCCTAGGAAAAAATCGAAAAATTTCAAAACGATATTTCGGCTATGTTTTGAATAAGGAAAGTACCTTCTGAGTTCCCTGATTACAGAATGGTACTTTATTTCCCGATCGGATAACAATTGGCAGAGCTATGCCGATCGGAAGAGCAAAAAGTGGGGAATTTTGAAAATCCACAATTTTGCAGGGGTACCCCTAGGAAAAAAATCGAAAAATTTCAAAACGATATTTCGGCTATGTTTTGAATGAGGAAAGTACCATCTGAGTTCCCTGATTACAGAATGGTACTTTGTTTCCTGACCGGATAACAATTGGCAGAGCTATGCCGATCGGAAGAGGAAAAAGTGGGGAATTTTGAAAATCCACAATTTTGCAGGGGTACCCCTAGGAAAAAAATCGAAAAATTTCAAAACGATATTAGGGCAATGTTTTGAATGAGGAAAGTCGCTTCCGAGTTCCCTGATTACAGAATGGTACTTTGTTTCCCGATCGGATAACAATTGGCAGAGCTATGCCGATCGGAAGAGGAAAAAGTGGGGAATTTTGAAAATCCACAATTTTGCAGGGGTACCCCTAGGAAAAAAATCGAAAAATTTCAAAACGATATTTCGGCTATGTTTTGAATGAGGAAAGTACCATCTGAGTTCCCTGATTACAGAATGGTACTTTGTTTCCTGACCGGATAACAATTGGCAGAGCTATGCCGATCGGAAGAGGAAAAAGTGGGGAATTTTGAAAATCCACAATTTTGCAGGGGTACCCCTAGGAAAAAATCGAAAAATTTCAAAACGATATTTCGGCTATGTTTTGAATGAGGAAAGTACCATCTGAGTTCCCTGATTACAGAATGGTACTTTGTTTCCTGACCGGATAACAATTGGCAGAGCTATGCCGATCGGAAGAGCAAAAAGTGGGGAATTTAGAAAATCCACAATTTTGCAGGGGTACCCCTAGGAAAAAAATCGAAAAATTTCAAAACGATATTTCGGCTATGTTTTGAATGAGGAAAGTCGCTTCCGAGTTCCCTGATTACAGAATGGTACTTTGTTTCCCGATCGGATAACAATTGGCAGAGCTATGCCGATCGGAAGAGGAAAAAGTGGGGAATTTTGAAAATCCACAATTTTGCAGGGGTACCCCTAGGAAAAAAATCGAAAAATTTCAAAACGATATTAGGGCAATGTTTTGAATGAGGAAAGTCGCTTCCGAGTTCCCTGATTACAGAATGGTACTTTGTTTCCCGATCGGATAACAATTGGCAGAGCTATGCCGATCGGAAGAGCAAAAAGTGGGGAATTTTGAAAATCCACAATTTTGCAGGGGTACCCCTAGGAAAAAAATCGAAAAATTTTAAAACGATATTTCGGCTATGTTTTGAATGAGGAAAGTACCTTCTGAGTTCCCTGATTACAGAATGGTACTTTATTTCCCGATCGGATAACAATTGGCAGAGCTATGCCGATCGGAAGAGCAAAAAGTGGGGAATTTTGAAAATCCACAATTTTGCAGGGGAACCCCTAGGAAAAAAATCCTTTTTTGAAAGAGGTGGAAATCAAAAATAAATACGATTTGCGGCGTATTTCTGCTCGTGGGTGGGTGATGTCACTTAGATTCGTTTAATTGGCAATAACTAATTGACTTGCCAGACGTCCAGCTGTGACAGCCTCAAAAACCAATCAATTTGCCAAACCAATTGCCCACCCAGCCACCCACACCCACACACACACACACACACACACAGTTGTAGAGAAATCCTAGCTGGACACTCATACACATAAATTGGCACACCAACAGTCACACGCATATGGCGACGAATGCCTTCCGGCGCTTGTCTGTGACTGTAAAATATTTGATGGCACCCGAGTGGGCGTGGCATGGCATGGCGTGGAGGGGCGTGGCGTGGCTGGGCGTGAGCGGCGACCGGACTCACGACCGGAAACGGATATGAAATGGTTCGTTTAAATTTTTCGGTCTTTCCATGGCGAGAGATAATAAATTTAAATGTCGGGAAACATGAGATACATACATACGTATATCAGTTCTTGGTTGGAGGATTAGAAATAAATTTGTGGCCAAGCTGGTGTTGGCCAGAAACATAAATTAGTTGAAATTCATTTGGCCATAAACATTGCGGATGGCAAACACAAAAGAATCATAAAGATATATGTTGGAATTGATTGGGATTATAAGCTTAAGATGAAATTTAAAGCTTAAAATCGTCTAAGAACTAGTATTTTTCACGGAGGCATCTCTGCAGGATCTAGTCTGTCTATTCGGGATGCAGGATGCACTGGATGGTCTCGTAACCAGAACGACAACACACAATGTCATCCAAATTGCAGCTCCAAGTGGTGTTAATTATGAGAAGCCCCTTCTCCCCTTCGTTTTGCAGGGTTGTAGAGATTTCCAAATATCGGTGATAAGGTCGGTCCCCGTCCCCCCCCTCCCCGCTACCAGTTAACAATGGCAATGTTGTTGCCAGAAAAACAGATGGAAGCAGGGCGTGGCAGTGCCGTGCACTGTTGGCATTGCCAAACACTCTCGGAAATGTCATTAAAATGGCTCGACGGCGCCTCCTCCGCGGCACAGAACCACAGACATTTGATTTGACACTCGCATAGCTATTTTCCGTATTCACATTTCGCGGGCCACGCCCCCTCCCACCCCTTCTGCATCACCGCAGAGTTGGCACTCAATTTTCACGCTCGGAAAAGTGATTGGGAAATCATAGAGGATGGAGCATGGAGCATGGAGGAGGGGGAGTTGATTGAAATATTTCAAAATATTTCAAGAGTTCAATGATTGCGAACAAAACGAGGTCACAATCGATCGATTATATCGGAATCCGATTTCGAATCCGATTTTTCTAGTCCTTTGTCCGGCCTTTTGCTAATTGCTCTGGCAACACTTTCCCACCAAAGACCACCAACGGAGGAGGAGGAGGAGGAGGACAGTCCGGCCAAGCAATTAGCAAATGACAAATGACAAATGCCCCCTGGCCGGCCGCAGTGCAAAACTTAAGCTGCTTAAAATGTATGCAACATGCCTCATAAAAATGCCTCTTTTCCCAAAACAAATACAGGGTGTGATGGTGTGGTAGAGAAAAAGAGGGGTTTCCCCCAACAATTAGTTCCACTTAAAGCCTAGCTTGGCAAAGATCTGATATAAAATCTTTAAATATTTGGATAAAATACCACCAACCCTTAAGCTTTAAGCTAGATTTAGTTTGGTCTAAAATATATAGACCTGGCAACCCTGTTTTTC